ACTTCATCTATGCGCCGCAAGTATGCAAAACACACACCAAATAAGAGCAAAACAATGAACCTGCTAAGGGCATAGCTCCACTACTCACGACATGCACAAAGACAAAAAATATGTTGGTGTCTCTGCCCATGTTCTTGCGGACGATTCATTCTCATTTCGCACATTTGGTGGTGAGTGGATGGCCCTTGGCAGGTTTTTTTTCCCCTTCTTGGCAGTGTATGAGAATGAATCCCCTGGTAGAGCATGGGTAGATACATGCATGTGGTGAGTAATGGAGCAAGGCCCATTGTCAGCGAGCATGCCACCATCTGAAAGCGCCGCCATCTCACTGCAATCACACCGGAGGAATCTGTCCACATTGCTCCACAACCATGCCCTAAGCTAACTAGATACAGTCCTTTTTCTTTTTCTTTTACAAAATCCTTATTACTGCCAAAAAGAGGGGGAGGCCGGGAATCGCTCTGCAAACAACCCGTCTAGATACAGTCCTGCTGTGAACATGCCCTCAGAGTTGTTGGGTTCTTTTTTTTTCCTTCTGGATCTCTGGGTTGTTTACGTCGTGGGATTCTGCCTCAAGTCCTCCTATCAACGGTGGATGGTTGTGCGATTCAGCCCCGTGGGCTTCACAGCTTTTCTCTTTTTTTTCGAACCACCAGTACGTCCTCCAGGCAATGTGCTTTCGTTTTCCCCCCTCTTGGCCCCTGCCTCATCCGCTGGCATCCTCTTGTAATTATGAAGTGAGTGAGCGCACATGCAACCATAGTCTTCCAGCCTCACTAGAAGTCTTAGCTGTAGCCCTTCTAGAAGGTCAGCAAGTGGGCAAGTGGGCAAGTGGGCAAGTGGTGAGTCAAGTGGTGGACTAACTGCAGTGCAATTGCAGTACGACCTCGATAGGATAGCAGTGAGTCCCCATTCAGTCATCGGTAAGGTCCAGTCAGTCCCAGTCTGGTCCAGCAAGTACCACAAGGGACTGTGAGCACCATGGGCCGATGGAAGAGGGCATACCAACGAGTTTCAAGTATAAATCAAGAGGCAGCGCCCAGCCTTTCATTCATTCCTGCGTGAGCCATGCAGAAGCGCTGCCACAGCGACTTGTGCAAGGAGGTCTGCAGAGAGCCCGGAGCTGAAGTGGGCGAGAGAGAAGGAGCGTAGCATAGCGATAGGGTAGTTGTGGCCATAGCCGCAATAGCTAGAGTTAGTGTGAAGTGTGTGTGTATACGTGTGAGTGTTCAGAGTGACGCGTGTGGGATATCCAAGGTGATCCGGTGTATGCGACAGAGAGTTGATTGGGCGCTGAGTCGCCATAGCCATTGGAAGTGAACTCTTATCTAGGTTGCCATATCTCTGAGTTTTGAGTGGGCACATGTCGCCAGTTTGCTGCGCTACTGTTGCATGCATGTAAAGTGTGACTGAATGCGAGTCTGATTGCATTGGTATCGGGGCTGGTACCCGCTATTCCATGCGCGCCGTCGTGTACAGGGCCTGATGCACCATAGCTGAGGTGGTCGCCAGAAGAAGAAGTCCGCCATAGCGGACCTGAAGGTTGGAGAAGCCGCCGCGCACCTCCAGAGAAGACCACGACGAAGAAGAAGACCGAGAGAGAGAGAGAGAGAGAGAGAGAGAGAGAGAGAGAGAGAGAGAGAGAGAGAGAGAGAGAGGTTGAGTGATACAAGATTGGGTTACGACGTACGTGCTGCGCTGGAGATATCGCTACGTACCTGTGAGGTTGCTGCGCAGTCCACGAAGAAGGAGATAGCGGCCATAGCCGCGGAGCGTGACCACGGAGTGACGAAGGAGGGAGAGAGAGTGGACAGAGGGGGAGACTGAGAAAGGAGAGAGAAGCCATAGCCGAGGAGGCAAAGAGAGAGACGATCAAAAAAAAAAGAAAAAAAAAAAAGAAAAAGAAGACAGCAGGGTGAAAGGAGGCGAGGAAGGTGAAGGGAAGAAGAAGGTTGGTGAGGGAAAGAGAAGCCGGCAGCCATAGCTGACCGAAGGGTTGACCGGGAGAGTTGACCGGAGGTGTTGACCGGCGTTGATCGGAGTTGACCGGGGGTTGATCGGGAGTTGACCGCAGTGTTGACCGACGTTGACCAAGACTTTGACCAAGCTGGAGCCGGTAAAATATCGCCAATCCTTCAGCCTATCCCTCGCCCTATGGATGTGCACACACCCTGTGGTACTTGCTGAGTCCAGTCTGTCTGTCTCTTCTTTCTGCATCGAGTCTCTTTTGTCTAGGTGATAGTACTCTGTGGATGAAGGATAGGGCCTTGTTGACCAAACCCACATGGACTGAGTCGGGCTAAAGAGTGTGTCTGACGACTCGACTGTCCCGGAGGACACGAACCCTCCCAAGGACCGGTACTGATCGGCGGGCTGCTCGGTGTGGCACGGTAGGCCCAAAATCCGAGTTGTGGGCTGCACAACAGGCCGTCTAAGTGTTGAGAGACCTGCTCATCGCGTCATCCTGTTTGCGACGTTAAATAATTCCTGAGGAGTTACGAGGGATCTCCTTAAATGCCTCCTGATCAGCAACAGGTCTAGTAGTGGCAGCCATAGTTAGGTCTAGGCTAGATACCCTTGTTGGCAGGATCCCTGTCAGGATTCTGTGAGTCCTTAGATTGAGTCAGTAAGTCTGTCAGTCAGGGGTTAGAGTCTACGTGGTGAGGCTTGGAACCGTTAATTCGGTTGTGCACTGATCACCATGGTTGACACCCGGAGTGGGAAAAGCACTAGCCCCTACACCCAGGAACAGCAAGAGAAGATGGCCGCCTTAGTGAGAGAGAACAAAGAGAGGAAAGAGCTCCAGAAACAGGCGAAGCTAAAGGCCATCGCAGAGGAGCAGGCGGCGAAGATGAAGAAACTGGAGGAGGAGATGAAGAGAGTTCAGCAGGAGGAGGAAGAGAGGAGAAAGGTTGTCGAAGAGGAAGCAGCAGCAGCAGAAGAAAAAAAGAGAAAACGTAGTGAAAGTAGAGAGGAGAGTAGTGGCACGAAGAAGGATGAAGACGCATAGATGGAGAAGAAGATTAGCGAGTGGATAGCTAACTTATCGTTGGGGGAAGATGAGGAGGCAGAGTTTTATGTGCCCCAGGACGAGAGGGATGCGTTAGCCAGTGAGCTAGCAGCAATTGAGGAACCCCTGGAAAGGCAAGAAGTAGAGGAGGAGAAGAAGTTGGAATGGAAGTTGAGGATGAAGAGGGAGAAGAAGAGAAGGAGGGAGGAGGTTAATAGGTTGACCGCAGAAGTGGCAAAAATGAGGGATTGCAAACAAGAAATGGAGGCGCAGACTGACATGTCTGCCAAGATGGATAAGGTGCTGGGATATTTAGAGGTGTTGAGCGCGGCCTGGATGTGGGAACGCCAGGCCAACAGGAGTCAAGAAGTAGCCCTGAGTGCCATGCGGTCAGGTTTTTGAGAGTTTGCGTGTGAGATGTTCAACCACGTTGGAGGCGAAGTCAGACGATTGAGAGACAACGTGGGGAAGTTTTGTGAGGGCGCTATTGAGAGCGCCAAAGCAGTTGCCGTTGTAGAGAGCGAGGCGAGACCCCGCAAGGACCCAGTCAAACTTAAGTTCCCAGATGCGTATGGAGGGAAGAAAGAAGAGAATTTCGATAACTGGGAGGCTAGTGTGAATAGCTACGTGTATCTACAACACATCCTGATTGAGGAGCAAGTCCTCGTGGCCTTCCAGGCTCTAAGGATGAGGCGGCTAGTTTTGACTGATCCCTCGCGCGCGCAGCCGGTTGTGAAAACAACCTGGTTGCATACTCTAAAATCACCCCCCTTCCTCAATTCTTCAAGCTCCTAAGGGAGCGATTTGCTGATCCGACGAGAGGCGTTAGGGCCTTTGACAAGTTGCAGACAATCCACTCGCGACAGCGGAGGAGTGCAAGAGCACTCAAGGGCGTCATGGACGACTTAGTAGCCGTCCCAGACCATGGGGTCATTGAGACCTAACTGGTCCAGTTGTTTTATCGTGCCATGCCAGAGCTACTGCGTGGGCACTTCTTTGACAAGTCTCAACAGGCCGACATCACGTATGATGTGTTGAGTAGGGAAGTCGTCCTGTTCGAGTCAAAGTCCATGCCAGTGTCCACTTTCTGGCATAAGGACCTGGACAAGGGGAAGAAGTGGAAAGGCCGTACCATCTCAGGCCAAGTGAGGGCCAATGATCATATGATCCTTACCTTAGAGGAAGGTGGTACAGATGAGGTCCCATACAGTCAGATCGAATGGGGCCTTGAGGAGGAGGACAGTAGCGTGGGACAGGGGAGGTCCTATGCTGTTGTTGCGGCTGGAGGGAGGCCGCAAGGTAGAGGAGGCCAGGGCCAAAGGGGCCAGGCCATGGGATGCCGAGGACCGGGCGCACAGGGGGTTGGCGAACAAGGGAACCGCCAAGTGGGAGGTAGGGGTCAAGGTCCCCCGCCAAATCGTCAAGGTAGTGATGAGGTGGAAGGCCACCTCAAGGAGGATGGCACCCAGGCTTGCCACAGGGCAGGCCCTGGGAAGACTTGGGCTCGGACCAGCGCGTATGGCAGGAACGCGTGAACTTGGGTCAGTGCGTGTTTTGTGGTGACCTGGCCCACGTAATTAAATTTTGTCCTCAGTACAGACAGGCCCGATGGGCTGCTCAGCAGTCAAAAGGTAGCCGCCAGTAGGGGTCGCAACTGCGCCTACTTCAAGGCCATGTGGGGAAGCGAGCGCGCGCACACAAGAAACTCCCAAACCACATGAGCCTATGGCAGAGGTTGCAGCCCCGTGCCTAGGTAGCTGTCCAGAGACTGCTTGTGTTAGCATCTCTCTAGGCACGTCCCTCATAGGTGTGGCAGAAGAGTTGAAGGAGAGGATGCCAGCCTGGGCCAAAATGAAGAACGAGACTAAGGGACAACTGATCTTGGTAGATGTAGAAGTGTTTAGAAGCAGAGTAGGGGCCCTTATAGACTCAGGGGCCACCCGTAGTTACATTAGCCGTAGGGCGCTGAAGAAGTTGAGGCTAGGATTAAAAGTCCAAAAGTCTGCAGACCCCATAGTCAGTGTCCTCGCAGACAACCGCACAATGCGAGTTGAGGACTACGTAGAGGGAGTCCAGGCGTATTTTCGCCTAGAGAAAGATGGGAAGGTGAAGAAAGTTCTCCATTCCCTGACTCTCCTCGTTCAGGATGACCTTCCTTTCGACATAGTATTAGGAATGGATTGGGGAGAGGCAGCAGGGGCCACACTCCCCTTAAGAGAGCATGAGTGTAGGCTCCCCAGTCCATCAGGCGAGGTCGAAACTGCCCGCCTGTTTCATGTGTCAGGTGTAGATAACACCTTGGCACATTGCTGTCTCAGTGCTCCTGCGTTCGCGCGACTAGTGAAAAAGGAGCAGTTAGAGGACTAGGTCTTTGTAGTTTATGAGTTTATGTTAGACTTATCACTGAGGCCAAGGAAGGAGATAATTCCACAGACCCAACCATTGCCAAGCTGCTCGAGGAATTCAAAGATTTGACCGAGTCGCCGACCGGAGTAGTGCCGCGACCCATTCAGCACAGGATAGAGATAGAGTCTGGCAGTAGGTCTCCTAAAGGAGCCGTCTATAGGATGTCCCCTAGAGAGCTAGAGGAACTACGCAAGCAGTTAGACAAGCTCCTCGAGAAAGGTTGGATCAGGCCCAATTCGTCTCCTTTTGGAGCACCTGTTCTGTTTGTCTCCAAGAAGGAAGGAGAGCTTCGTATGTGTATAGACTATAGGGGTTTGAATGCGATTACAGTGAAGAATGTTGAACCACTGCCCAGGATAGACGATCTCTTAGATCGGGTGCAGGGTTGCAAGTATTTCTCGTAGATAGACCTGAAGTCCGGATACCATCAGATAGCGGTCCATCCTGATGACCAGTACAAGACTGCGTTCCGGACTAGATATGGCATTATGAGTTTATAGCGATGCCCTTTGGACTAACCAACGCGCCAGCTACATTTCAGCGTTGTGTGAACGATCTGTTTAGACCTTGGTTAGATAATTGAAAAAGATAGAAGTCGCGGTGTTTACTTTACCCAAGATTGGGTTTGTTTACCAGGTGTATTACCTGTAGCTTCAGGTGGAATTCATGTTTGGCATATGCCTGCATTAGCTGAAATTTTTGGTGACGATTCAGTATTACAATTTGGAGGAGGTACTACAATATCATTATTAACAAAGCAAATAACATATTTATTGGTTTGCTAAATTCACATGTACCATAAAATAACAATACAGTATTCATACTATATTGTTATTTTATAGTACATGTGAATTTTCTATGTCTACTGATTGATTCGTTATTTGAGGCAGGTCTTGGAGAAGCTCAAAGAGGCTAACTTCAAGATCAACGCAAAGAAGTGTGAGTGGGCCAAGACGCAAGTCCTGTACTTGGGCCACGTATTAGACGGATATGGCATTAAGCCAGAGGATAGTAAGATCGCGGCGATTAGAGACTGGCCGATGCCCCGCACATTGACAGAATTGCGGTCGTTCCTAGGCCTAGCCAACTACTATAGAAAGTTCGTAAGGAACTTCTCTACTATCGCCGCTCCCTTGCGCCGGTTGCTTAAGAAAGAGGCAATCTGGCAATGGGACAGAGATCGTACGTCTGCGCTAAAGAGACTGAAGCGCGCGTTAAGGTACGTCACCACGGACGCGAGTCGGTATGGAATAGGCGTCGTGTTGCAGCAAGACGACGACGATGGCTATAGACCCGTAGAGTTCATGTCAGCGAGGATGCCCTCAGAGAAGGTTGCTACCTTGACGTACGAGAGAGAACTCTAAGCTCTCAGGTAGGCTTTAGAGCACTGGAAGCATTACCTGCTTGGGAGGCACTTCAAAGTGTATTCTGACCATGAAACACTTAGATGGTTAAAGACCCAGGCCAAAGTGACACCTAAGTTGACTAGGTGGGCCGCTGAGATAGACTTTGAGCTCAAACCGGTCAAAGGCAAGTACAACGTAGTTGCGGATGCTCTAAGTAGAAGATCAGACTACTTTGGAGCTATAGTGCACTATCTGGACATAGGAAAGGACCTGCAAAAGAAAGTCCGATAGGCGTATGCGCAGGACCCTATCTATAGTGACCTCCTCAAGAGTGTTAAGGAGGCCCCTGAGACCGAACCAGACTACCGCACTACTGAGGGACTATTGTTTGAGAAGACTAATGTAGTAGACCGCCTGTGCATTCCCAACAGTGAGGAGATCCGTAGCCTGATCTTAGGGGAATGTCATGACACAGAGGGACACTTCGGTTGGCAGAAGACTCTAGCCAATCTGATGCGTGCGTATACCTGGCCAGGAATGAAAGCCGACTGCATAGAGTATGTTCGCAGTTGCAAAGTTTGCCAGAGAAACAAGACCACTACGCATGCCCCCCTAGGTCTTCTCAGACCCTTGCCTATCCCAGACCAACCGGGAGATTCAGTCTCCATTGACTTTATGGATGCCGGTGTCAAGAGTAGACACGACAAGAGCCAAGTCATGGTCATAGTTGATAGATTCAGTAAATATGCAGTTTTTGTTCCTTTGCCTGCAAAGGCCCGTACGGAGTTAGTCATTCAGAAGTTTTTTTATCATTGGGTTAGTGACCACGGAGTCCTTTTGTCTATAGTTAGTGATAGAGACACCAGATTCACGAGCCAGAACTGGCAGGAACTGATGAGAGTCTATGGTTCAAAGTTGTTTAATGTCATCTGGCCGTCATCCAGAGACTAACGGTCAGACAGAACAGATGAACAAGATCCTGCAGCAAGTTCTGCGCATGTATATTAGACCGGATTAAGTCAATTGGGACGAGATGTTGCCCAAGGTAGCCAGCGCATACAATAACAGCGTGCATTTGTCTACCTGTCGCACTCCCAATGAGTTACACAAGTCCTTTAGACCCCGCAGACTGTTTGAAGGACTTACCCGGGATCAAATTCACAGACTACCGCCCGGTACCAGGGAGTTCGCGATGCAGCACGAGAGAGAGCTAGCTACAGTTGTTGAAAACCTCAGGAAGGCCCAGCACAAAATGATAGAACAGGCAAACAAGCACCGTCGCCCGTCCCAGTTTCAAGTAGCGACTTAGCCTGGGTCAAGTCTAAAGAGTTTGCACTTGAGGAGAACATCTCACAGAAATTACTGCCTGCATATAGAGGACTGTGGCCGGTTCTAGAAGTCAAGGGTGGAGAGGATGGACCGTCCTACACTATAGAGATTCCAGCACACCTCCATACCTACCCAGTGTTCCATGCTTCAAAGTTGTTGCCGTGTGTCACAAGTCGACAGTTCCCTTCAAGAAGATTTATGATCCCTCCGGATATGGATGGCAGATATGACATTGACGGCATTGTAGATGAGGATGTCTTTTGGACAGGAGGTAAAGGTCGTCCACAGAAACAGTATAAGGTCCGGTTTGCTTATCAGGAAGCGGAAGACGACGGCTGGTTTACTGAAACAGAACTTCTGGAAACAGCTCCCGGCATAGTCAGAGCCTATGAGCGTGATAAGAAGGGTAAAGGTCCTGTCTTGGACTAGAATATTCTCGGAGGACCTCGAATTTAGGACGGCGGGAGTGAAACAGTTTTCACCTCTTTGCAGTAGCAGATGCAGATCCCAGGGCTCGATCCCTAGACCCTGCCCTACCTGTGTACAGTACCTGTGTAGACCCCGAGAGTTGAACCTGTGACCTGTGTATTCGTAAGCAGTTGGTAGGCTGTCATAGGTCCGTAGGTAGTAGAGGGGTTCGATCTGTAGACCTGTAGAATAGAAGTCTTAGCTAGTTCCAGAAGTCCTAGCTGTAGCCCTTCTAGAAGGTCAGCAAGTGGGCAAGTGGGCAAGTGGTGAGTCAAGTGGTGGACTAACTGCAGTGCAATTGCAGTACGACCTCGATAGGATAGCAGTGAGTCCCCATTCAGTCAGCGGTAAGGTCCAGTCAGTCCCAGTCCGGTCCAGCAAGTACCACAAGGGACTGTGAGCACCATGGGCCGATGGAAGAGGGCAGACCAACGAGTTTCAGAAGTATAAATCAAGAGGCAGCGCCCAGCCTTTCATTCATTCCTGCGTGAGCCATGCGGAAGCGCTGCCACAGCGACTTGTGCAAGGAGGTCTGCAGAGAGCCCGGAGCTGAAGTGGGCGAGAGAGAAGGAGCGTAGCACTGCGATAGGGTAGTTGTGGCCATAGCCGCCATAGCTAGAGTTAGTGTGAAGTGTGTGTGTATATGTGTGAGTGTTCAGAGTGACGCGTGTGGGATATCCAGGGTGATCCGGTGTATGCGACAGAGAGTTGATTGGGCGCTGAGTCGCCATAGCCATTGGAAGTGAACTCTTATCTGGGTTGCCATATCTCTGAGTTTTGAGTGGGCGCATGTTGCCAGTTTGCTGCGCTACTGTTGCATGCATGTAAAGTGTGACTGAATGCAAGTCTGATTGCACATCCATTTTGAGAGCCATATATCCGTCCACTCCTCAACACATTCATCTATCTATTTCTCTGTCACCTCGGGAAAAAGAGGCTCAGAAATGGTACTGGTGCCTTAGACCGCCAGTAGGTTTCCCGGCCATTTTTCTACAACACGGCCGCGTGCACGGCGTGTCTGGCAGGAGGTACCGGCCTGCCATTTCACGAAATGTACATCCAGCCAAAACGGGCTGTGCACGTGATGCGGTTTGCTTTGGATCTACGTTTTGCGAAGACCCAAGCCGATTCATCCCGCCTGCCTCGTGCCAGACGCGGCGCCCATGCAGCCGCATCGCAGAAAATATGGCTGATATAAAATGTACTGGTGGTTTTCGCAATGGGTTGGTAGCTCCAATTGTTTTGGAGGGCGCAACATATGATAAGGGTCAATGGTCCTAAAAGAAAAAGGCCAGAGAGGAAGGAAAAGACAAACCAGTCTGTCTGTCCTGAGCTTCGGATTTTGATAAACTACCACAATGCGTTTTTTTTTTTTTTCCCTACCCCAATACGTTTTTTTTTTTAACCTACCCCAATACGTTTTTTATTTTTAACCTACCCCAATAAGCATGACGTTCACAAATAGAGTGGAAGCATTTCACCAGCAAAAACCCATGGATATACTATTTTAGTATTTTTAAATTTATAACTTGTAAGCTAACAAGAGAAAGAGACAAAAACTTGACTCCCAATCGCCTTTTTCGCTGCACTGATCGCAGGTGCAGGGAATATGAGTGTGAACGATATACAGAAAATCAAATTGTGAAATCACACAGATGTCCAAGTAGTCGTGTCCACGCAGAGAGCACAATTTCACCGAGAATCCATCCAAATAGAGCAAGACAATGAAGTAATGAGCCAATGTTCAAGCCCTCAGGCCACACCAACATCCAAAGTCGCTCAATCTCTGTCTGGTACCCAGCGCCTAGCCTACTCTACCTGAATATCCTACCTACAGCTGTGTTCACGCAACAGGATCACTTCGACTCTCGAAGAGCAATGTACATGATGCCAACACCATAGCCCACCTCTCTTCATGTACCAGATACGTATCTCGTCACCCTCATCAGACCTTGATACCCCACACTCGCCTCCTTCCTTGAAGACCACCAGATCGCCCTCTTACCCCCTGGCGCCCAGCAGCCCAGCTATGACTGCCTGCGCCCAGCAGCCCAGCTATGACTACCTGCGCCCCGCTGCCCTGCAGCGCCCCACTTCACCTCTACGCGCCCCGTCAGTGCTCTTGGCCGCAGTGCAGCATCAAGCAGTAGCACAGCAGCACTTCCGCATTGCCTACGCGGGCCAGAATGAGTGGCCTGGGCTGCCTCTCTTCCTATATGGCAGTGGCAGCCTCCTGGATGCTGCGTGTGGCCTGGCTGGAAGCTTCCAGTAGCTTCCGGTTGGTCCTCAGTCCCTGCGCCCAGGCCCGAGGCTACAGTTGAGGGCCTGGGCCCTTTACAGTTGGGCACGGCCTGAGTCTTTGGACTTGGGCAGGTTGCTGCATTTGTGCAGGGCCCCGGGGTAGGTGCGTTGACAGTACTGCTTTTGCATAAGCAGCTGGCCGCTTCACAATGTATTGGTCCTGATTTGTGTGTGTGTGCCCACGCGAAACTGCCAAGGCCTGGGCCAACTGAACGACGCAGCTTAGTGAGGCTCATGCATCCACTCAACCAACTGGCGTGCTGAATACCCACATATGAAAATGTCGAATTTTGGCCTCTGATGAATATTCAGGACCGCCTTCACTTAGGGCGGGCACTCTGCTTGCTGGGGCCTCTGCCCAGAACATGTGATGTCTGATAAGGTCCCCTGAGGGCTCGTTCCTCACACAGGTGAGTTTTTTCCTCTTTCTTATTATTGTTTTTTGAGCAGGTGAATTTTACACACCTCTTGCTTTCCAGAGATTTCCATACGACAGCCAGGTATGTGTTTTTCTCTTTTTGTTCTTTTTCGTAATCTCTGGTCCTTATCCTCTTTTAGCATATGGAAATCTCATCTTCACCCAAAAATAAATATATGAAATTCCGGGAAATATTTAGTGGCGATCGGCACCTCCACGAATGCATGACTATTTCCAGGGCTTGATTGTGTGCAGCTTATTCTTGCTGGGGGTCAGGTCTCACTGCGCTAGATTCATGTTCAAAAGCATGAATCTGGCAACTATTATGGGCACATTCATGCTTTGCAAGCATGAATGCTAGCCTGACTAGAAGTGAGAGGATGTGTGGGGCAGAACATGGGTGCATGGGAATGGGAATGTCCTGGAAACTTGGCAAGCAATTCTTTTTTTTTGAATTATTATTTTTGAATTTTGCATTTTGCGTGCTTGCCTGGGTCACTCTTGAGGAAGACTGTGAGTGAGAGGGCCCCTTGTAGGGTGTAGTTTTGTTTTTATTTTTTGTTTCTCTCCTCTTTTTTAAGTTTTTTTCCATTTCTTTTTTCCCCTGAAGGGCGACAACCTTGAGATGGCAAGATGGGACTGACAGGCCCCAGGTAATTCAAGAAATTCATTCATCTAATCTAATCTGGATTCAGCCTCAGATCTGAAATCAGACTCGTCTTCTTCTCACTTTGCATGCATGCAGACAGATGGCAAACCACACTGGTGCTGGGCGCCCACACAAAGCTCAGAGGTATTCAAGTCGAGAACACAGTTCAGATACAAACTCGCTGCAAATTGGCTATGGCGCCTGAGCGCCCACACTTCTCACTTCCCCAACTCTGTGTTCACCTCAACTGTTCACACGCACTTAACTCTGGATCTCCCTGGATATCCCACACACACTCACTCAGTACCGTACACACACACGGTGGAACCTATCTCTAAACTATGGCGGCTATGGCCGCTCACTACTAGCTTCCGCATGGCTCACGCAGAATGAATCCATGGCTGGACGCTGCTTCTTGATTATACTTCTGTAGGCTGCTGGTCTGCCCCTTTCCACCGGGCCCAGGGCGCACAGTCCCACATGGTACTTGCTGACTGGACAAAGTAAGACTGGGACTGGGTACCGCTGACTACACAAAGTTGGACTGCCTAGTTGCTCACTTGCCTCTGGCCTAACGTTGAAAACTCTCGAAAGGCCACTTCCGGACCTTCCGGAAGTCTGCAGATTTGGCCTTTCAGGACTGTAGCAGCTACGACTTTGACCTTTCAGGACTGTAGCAGCTACGACCTTGACCTTTCAGAGCTACAACAACTATGACCCCTACTTCGACAGGTCTACGGTTCAAGACCCGACAGCTACACAGACCTATGACGGACAACATTCAGCTACCAACACACAGGTCACGGGTTCAAAACCTGCAGGGTCGACTCGACACTGTACAAGGGTAAGGTAAGGTCTAGGGATCGAGCCCTGGGATCTGCATCTGTTACTGTAAAGGTGAAAACCGTTTCACTCCCGCCGGCCTAAATTCGAGGTCCTCCGAGAATACTTCAGTCCAAGGCTGGACTTTTACCTTTCTTATCTCTCTCATATGCTCGAACTACATCGGGAGCAGTCTCAAGAAGTTCTGTTTGCATGAACCAGCGGTCGTCTTCCGGTTCTTGAAAAGAGAACCTGACTTTATAGTAAGTTTATACTGTTTTTGTGGACAACCTCTACCTCCTGTTCTAAACACGTCTTCACCTACTATGCGGTCAATGTCGTACCTCCCATCCATGTCCGGATGAATCATGGATCTCCGTGATGGAAACTGTTGACTTGTGGTACAGGGCAACAACTTTGACGCATGAAAAACTGGGTAGGTGTGGAGGTGTGCTGGAATCTCGACGGTGTAGGACAGTCCATCCTCTCCGCCTTTAACTTCTAAGACTGGCCACGGTCCTCAATATGCAGGTAGTAACTTTTGCGAGATGTTTTCCTCCGGAGCAAACTCCTTTGACTTGACCCAGAATAAGTCGCCTACTTGGAATTGTGACGGGCGATGGTGCTTATTGGCTTGTTCTATCATCTTGTGCTGGGCCTTCCTGAGGTTGTCTACAACGGTAGCTATCTCTTTCTCATGCAGTATCGCGAACTCCCTCGTACCGGGCGGTAGCCTCTGGATATGATCCCGGTTCAGCCCTTCAAACGGTCTGCGCGGTCTAAAGGACTTATGCAACTCGTTGGGACTGCGACAAGTGGCTAGATGTACACTGTTGTTGTATGCACTGGCTACCTTTGGGAGCATCTCGTCCCAGTTGACTTGATCGGGTCTAATATACATTCTAAGAACTTGTTGAAGGATCTTGTTCATTTGTTCTGTCTGACCGTTAGTCTCTGGATGACGGGCAGATGACATCAATAACTTAGAGTCGTAGACTCTCATCCTGCCAGTTCTAACTAGTGAACCTGGTATCTCTGTCACTAACTATCGACAACGGTAGACCATGTTCACTAACCCAATGATCAAAGAACTTGTCTATAACTAAATTTGTAAGTGCCTCCGCGGGGAAAGGAACAAAAACTGCACACTTACTAAATCTATCAACTATAACCATGGCTTGGCTCTTGCCATGCCTACTCCTGACCCCTACATCCATGAAGTCAATGGAGACAGAATCTCTAGGTCCCGTGGGAATAGGCAATGGTCTAAGAAGGCCGAGAGGGGCTCGCGTAGGGGTCTTATTCCGCTGACACACTTTGCAACTGCGTACATACTCTATGCAATCGGCCTTCATACCAGGCCAAGTATATGCGCGAATAAGGTTGGCTAATGTCTTCTACCAACCAAAATGTCCCTCTGTGTCATGGCATTCCCCTAAGATCAAAACTACGGATCTCTTCACTATTGGGGATGCATAAGCGGTCAGCTATGTTAGTCTTCTCAAACAATAAACCGTCTGTAGTGCGGTAATCCGGTTCAGTCTCTGGAACCTCCTTAACTCTTTGAGGAGATCACTATAAATAGGGTCCTGCGCATATGCTTCCTTGATTTTCTGTTGCAGGTCTTTCCCTATATCCAGATAGTGAACTATCGGTCCAAAGTAATCAGTTGTCCTACTCAGAGCGTCTGCGACTACATTATACTTTCCCTCAACTGGCTTGAGCTCGAAGTCCAACTGGTCTATCTCTGCGGCCCACCTAGTAAACTTAGGTGTCATCTTGGCCTGCGTCTTCAACCACCTCAGTGTCTCGTGGTCTGAATAGACATTGAAGTGCCTCCCAAGCATGTAATGCTTCCAGTGATCTAAGGCTTGCCTGAGAGCATAGAGTTCCCTCTCGCAGGTAGATGTCGCTACCTTCTCTGAAGGCATCCTAGCAGACATGAACTCTACGGGTCTATACCCATTGCCATCATCTTGCTGTAAGACAGCGCCTATTCCATACTGACTTGCATCAGTAGTGACAACAAAAGGTAAGGACGGATCGGCTAGATTGACGATTGGGTACTCTATCAAGGTCCACTTTAGCTTCTTCAGGGCCGACGTACAGTCTCTATCCCACTCTCAGATTGCTTCTTTCTTTAACAACCTGCGAAGCGGTGCAGCGATGGTGGATAAGTTCCTCATGAACTTTCTATAGTAGTTGGCTAGGCTTAGGAACGACCGCAACTCTGTCAATGTGTGGGGCGTTGGCCAATCTCTAATCGCTGCTATGTTACTATCCTGAGGTTTTATACCATCTCCATCTAAGACGTGGGCCAAGTACAAAACTTGCATCTTGGCCCATTCACACTTCTTCGCGTTGATCTTGAAGTTAGCTTCCCTCAGCTTTTCCAAGACCTGCCTCAGATGGCCCTCATGCTCTTGGAGGGCCTTACTAAAAACTGAAGTATCGTCTAGATATACAACTATGAATCTATCTAACCATGGCCTAAAGAGATCGTCCATACAACGTTGGAATGTAGCTGGCGCATTGGTTAGTCCAAAGGGCATCACTATAAACCCGTAGTGCCCATACCTAGTCTTGAATGTCGTCTTGTACTAATCATTCGGGGCAGTGATTTTGCATTCTTCACGGTGACGACGTTGAGACCTCTATAGTCTATGCACATTCGAAGCTCTCCCTCCTTCTTGGGGACAAACAGAACAGGCGCTCCAAATGGAGACGAGCTGGGCCTAATCCAACCCTTCTCCAAGAGCTTGTCTACCTGCTTACGTAACTCGTCTAACTCCCTTGGGGACATTCTATACACGACTCCTTTGGGAGTTCTACTGCCAGACTCTATCTCAATGCAGTGCTGGATTGGCCGTGACACTACTCCTGTAGGCGGCTTAGCCAAATCTCTACATTCTTCCAGCAGCTTGGCAATGACTGGATCAATGGGTTGCTCTTCCTTAGGCTCAGTGGCAGGCCTAACAAAGGCTACGAAAACCTTCTCTTCTAATTGCTCCTTCTTTACTGATCGCACGAACGCGGGAGCACTGAGACAGCAATGTGCCAGAGGGTGACACATGAAATAAGCGAGCAGTCTTGACTTCGCCTGATGGACTAGAAAGCCTACACTCGTGCTCCCTCAAGTAGAGTTCCTGTTGCCTCTTCCCAGTCCATTCCTAGGACCATGTCAAATGGAAGGCTATCTTCTACGAGGAGAGTCAGGGAACGAAGAACTCTCTCTACCTTCCCATCCTTCTCTAGGCGAAAGTACGTCTGGACTCCCTCAACGTAATCCTCGAGTCGCATAGTGCGATTGTCTTTGAGGATACTGACTACAGGGTCTTCTAGCTTTTGGACCTTCATGTTCAACTTTAGCTTCTGCATCGCTTTTCTAATAATAAAACTGCGAGTGGCCCCACTATCTATAAGGGCCCCTGCTCTGCCTCTAAAGACTTCTACATCTACTAGAACTAGTTTTCCCTTACCATCTTTCTTCATTTTGGATCACGTCGGCATCCTTTCTTTCAGCTCCTCTGCCAGGCCTGTGAGGGAAGTGCCTAGAGAGACTCTAACACAAGCAGTCTCTGGACAGCTATCTAGGCACTAGCCAACAACCTCTGCCATAGGCACATGTGGGTTGGGAGTTTCTTTGTGATGCGCGCACTCTTCTCCGCATGGTCTAGGGGTAAGGGCAATTACGACCCCTACCGGCGGTTGCCTTTTGCTGTTTGTGCAACATTCCGGGCTTCTCTATACTTAGGGCAATATTTTATGATGTGCCCCGGATCACTGCAGTAGATGCATTGATCCTGGTCTATCCACCTCTGCCACACTGTCTATTCTAAGCCAGATCTTCCCAGGGCCTGCCTTGTGGCAAGCCAAGGTGCCATCCACCCTTCATGGGAGGTGATCGAGTGAAACGAGATCGGTTTTGCCGAGGAACTTGACCCCTACCTCCCACTTGGCGGTTTCCTCTGCTGCCAACCCCCTGATCACTCTGTCCTCGACCACCGGAAGCCTGGCCTCCTTGGCCCCGGCCTCCTCCTCTTCCTTGTGACCTCCCTCCGGCTGTGACAGCAGCATAAGTCCTCCCCTGACTATCGCCACTGCCTTCCTCCTCGAGGCCCCACTGCATTTGATCATATGGGACCTCGTCCATATCACCCTCATCTAGAGTTAGGATCAAGTGATCCTTGGCCTTGACTTGGTTCGAGATGGGACGACCCTTCCATTTTTGGCCCTTGTCCAGATCTTTGTGCCAGAAGGTAGCTGGCATGGACTGGGCCTCGAAAGCCACTACTTCCCTACTCAAAGTATCATAGGTCATAGTGGACTCCTTGCTTTTCTCAAAGAAGTGCCCGCGCAAGGGCTCGGGCATGACACGATAAAACGGTTGGACCAACTGAGTCTCAGTGACTCCATGGTCAGGGACAGCTACCAACTCATCCATTACTCCTTTGAGTGCCCTAGCACTCTTCCATTGGCGAGAGTGGACGGTTTGCAGCTTGTTAGAGGCTCTAATTCCCCTGGTGACATCTGCAAACCTTTCACGCAGCAATTTAAAGAACTCGTTGAGAGGGGTGATCGCAAAGTAAGCTACTATATCATTATCGCACTTGGCTGCGTTGGCGAGCGATAGGGCGAAGTTCGCTGCTTCATCCTTAAGGGCATGGAAAGCGATTAGTACTTGCTCCTTAGGCAAGATCTTCTGCAGGTGAACATACGAATAGATGTTCCCCTCCCTGTTGTTAAAGTTTTCTCCCTTCTTCCCACTATAGGAATCAGGGAACTTGACTTTGACCGGATCCTTACGGGGACGCACCTCTTCTTCCCTTGGAGCTGTCAACTTGGCATGACACCTGCACAAAATCGCTCTGTGCTCTCCATCCTCGCTTTCACTTATGTGCCCATGTGCATCATCATCTCTCGTGCGAAATCTCTAAAACCCAAACATATGGATCGCAAGGTCACATCCTGGCTCTTGGCAAACTGAAACTGCTCAATGTGCCCTTTGCTGTTTCACCCCCTCCAACTCTTTCGCCACCTTACTTGCCTCCTCCATCCGTTTTTTCTTCTCCCTGGTCGGACACAACTTCCACTCCAACTTCTTTTCCTCGTCAATTGTCTGACGACGTAGAGGGTCTTCTTCTGCCTCACATTCTTTCAACATCGCCTCCTCTTCCTCTCCCAGGGATAGATTTGCGACCCACTCAGATACCTTCTTCTCCAACCAAGGGTCCTCCTGCTTCGAGCCACTAGACTCCCCTCTCTCTCTCGTGACCTTTCTGATCAAGGGGACTTCCTCTTCCACCTTTTTCTCCTCTTCTTCTTCTTTTGCTTCCACACTGCTTTTAATTTTTCTTCTTCTTCCCTCTTCAATTTTTCCAATTCCTCCTCAAACTTCTTCTTCTTTGTGGCCTGCTCCTCCAGTAAGGCCAACTTCTTGGCCTGCTTCACCACCTCCCTCTTCTCTTTCTTGGCCTTCTGCTCGACCAAAATCTTTGCGGCCTCCTCCTCCTGCTCCTTCGTGTAGGGAGTGGTGCTAGCACCACCCCTTGTCTCTACTCTACACATGAAGGTGTTCCAGAACCCCAACGGAAAGAGGAGACGCCAGAGGGTCCCCCAGAGGGAGAACCTCACGAGCAAGCCGTACATCGGATAGTCATCCATGGTGTTTGGTGCACGACAAAGGACTGTCCCACTCCTTACCACTTAGACCTATCCACTGAACTAACTAACAGACTATCTAAGGACTACAGGATCCGTGTAGGACCCTGTCAGCTATGGTCTCTAGCCTGGACCTACTACTAAGCTGTCACTACAGGACTTCAATGCTGATCAGGAGGCATTTAAGGATATCCCCATAACTCCTCAGGAATTCTTTAACGTCACAGACAGGACAACGCGATCAGCAAGTCCTCTCAAGACTTAGATAGCTGGTTGTGCAGCCCACAGCTCGGATTTTGGGCCTACCATGCCACACTGAGCAGCCCACCGATCTGTACAGGTCCTTGGGAGGGTTTATCCTCGGGGTCGGTCAGTCGTCAGCCACGGCTTTTAGGCCTACTCAGCCCGTGTGGGTTTGGTCAACACAACTCAACGACCTCATACACAAAGTTCCTATCGCCTGGGCAGAAGAGACTGAATGCAGAAAGAAGAAATAGACAGACTCAGCAAATACCATGGGGTGAGTGCATATCCATAGGGCGAGGGGATAGGCTGAAGGCTTGGCGAGAGTACACCAACTCCAACTTGGTCAAATTTGTGGTCAACAGCTCCGGTCAACACTGGTCAACGCTGGTCAACTGCCCGATCAACACCTCGGTCAACGCTTATCAATTCATCGGTCAACACCTTGGTCAACGTCAATCAACTCCTCGGTCAAAACCTTGGTCAACGCTCAACTCGGCTAGGGCTGCCGCCCCCTTTTCTCCCACCAACCTTCACTTCTCCTTCTCCCTCCTTCCTCTTTTCTCACTTCTTTCTTCCTTCACCCCGGCTATGTCTTCTCTCTACTTCTTCATCCCTCCTTTCTCTTCCTCGGCTATGGCTTCTCTCTCCTCTTCGTCTCTCCCTCCTCCTTCACTTGATCTTCTTTCTCCTTCGTTTACTCCGTGTCCGAGCTCGGCAGCTATGGCCGCCACCTCCTTCCTTTGACCGCACAACCAATCTTGTATCACTTCTCTCTCTCTCTCTCTCTCTCTCTCTCTCTCTCTCTCTCTC